CCATCATGAGGGATTGCTCTTAGTGGTCATTAAAAGGCCCTTATGTTTGATAGGTGGGGAAAATGAGGCCCAGAGAGGGAATGGGGCGTGGCTGTGTGCGCCAATGAGCTGGTGAACCAGTCTTTTCTGAGGCCCAGTGGGCTCTGCCCTGGTGGGCTCCACTGTAGGGGAGATGGAGATGGGGCCCCTAGCCTGATCTGGAAGCCAAGACAGGGGAGGCAGGCGGGGAGCTGACCCTCCCAACCGGCCCCTCCTTACAGCAAGAATGCCTATGGCGAGGAGAAGGAGAACCTCAGGGCCCGGGCCCTGGACCTGTCGCTCAAGTACCACTTCGTGACTCCACTGACCTCCATGGTGGTGACCAAGCCTGAGGACAATGAGGACCAGACGGCCATTGCCGACAAGCCCGGGGAAGGTGGGCACAGAGAGTGGAGGCCAGAGCTGGGAGGCCTCCTTCCAGGACCCTGGGCCCTGGGTGGTGGAAGAGAAGTGGGCCAGGCTGGCGAGATCCAGACCTGCTGAAGAGGGCCAGGTCCAGGGGGCATCTGAAGGAAAACTGGCCACGGGCTGGGGAGGGTGGGGCAGAGAGACTGAATAAGAACCTCTGGGTCTCTAAAGGGCTGTGAGTAAAGGGACACTCTGCCCAGGGGCCATTTCAAGGAAAGGGACTTAGACTACAGCATGGAAGGGCTCAGTTAGAAGCACTTCTAGCCTGAAAGTCAGTCCTGGAGCAGGCTACCAGGTACCTGGGGATTGTGAGAGAAAGCAGGCCTGGGAGCTGGAGGCTGGGACCAGGCCTGCTCAGCCAGACCTCCCTACTTATCAGGTGAGTCCTGAGTGCCTGCTGTGACTAGGCTTGCGTGGGCTATGGGAGTGGCATTGGGAGGCATGGGAGGCACAGAGCTGGGCCAGGCCAGGACTCTGGCCTCCAGGAGCTCCTGATTCTAAGGGAGACCTGCTGGGGGGCCCAGCTGGCTGCTGGGGAGGCCCACGGCCTGGGGCTGGGTTGGCCAGGCAGTGAGCTCTGGCCCCTGTTCAGGCTGCTCCCATTGGTTGCACTGACCCTGACACTAGTGGCTTTTGACTTCTAACACATTTCTTTTCTTCCTCCCCAACTGTGCCTGTGGATGCAGAAGGTAAGCTTCAGCCTGCAGCTGGGTGGGCATCATGGGCAGGAGACAAGAGAGAAAGGGGAGGCCTTTCTAAACAAGCCAGGGGTGCTCCGTCTAGGAAGGGGCATCCAGGACACATAGGCTCAGGTTCCAGGTCTACTGTCAACTTACCAGTGACCTTGGCCCAGGTGCTGCCCCTCTCTGCTCCTCAGGGGCCCCATCAGTTGAATAGGGGTGGCTCCCTCTGCCCGAGGACAGTCAGTATAAGAATGCTCTGTGACCTGCAAAAATCAGCAACTTACTAACAGCTAGACTCTTACACTCTATTAATCCCACAGCAACTCTCCAAGGGGTCTCTTATGAGTCCCATTTTACAGTGAGGAAACTGAGGCACGGAGTTAAGTCTGTTTGCTCAAGGATGCAGTCAGTAGATGGCGGAGCTGAGACTTGAGCCCAGGCAGCCTGGTTCCAGTGCCCTCACTGGTAATCACAGTGCTCTGCACCTTCTCATCACAAAATTGGAACCTAACCCCCCAAAAGTCCACCGCCACCTGTCAGAGCCTCGCCAGCCCCTACTTGCCTGCTCAACCTCTGCCGATAAGGGGATGTCCAGTCCAAGCAGCACATTTCGACTGGGTCATCACTTTCCCCTCACAGCAGTCCTGTCAAATGTACAGCCATTGGTGTGTGAGTGTGCATGCATGTGTGTATGTGTGTGCATATGTGTGTGCATGTGTACACGTGCATGCAGTGGGTGAGTGTTTTACTCCCAGGGAGCAATAGATAGCTACTATCCTCACCCCACCCCAACGGGGCAGCGGGGAGGGAGTTCAGGGTGAGGAAGATGTCTGCTTTGAGCATTACTGATGAGACAGAAGCTGAGGCTGGATGGCTTGCATTTTAGCTGCGTCAAAATGCCAAGTCCCTAACATTAGAAGTACATCCTTATTGCCACCACCCCTGTAAAGGGGTTCCCTGGGCATGCCCCCCGTTTTCTAAAGCCTAAATTTAGGGGTCACATCCCCACCCTCAGTCTGCCAGCATTGGGCTCCCTGGGGACTGGGGGCCCCAGACAGGCAGAAGGCATGGGGTTGGGGAGAAGGAACTCCTGGACCCCATTCAGGATACCCTTTGGCTTCTTTTTAGCCAGGTCTGCGATCCCCTCCATGGCCTACCTGAGTGAGTATGTGCTGCCTGCCGCAGCCCCCTCAGCCCACTGCCTGGAGCTTGGCCCTGCCCCCCGTTCCCTCTAGGGTCTTACCTGAATCAGTTCTCTGGGACAGACAGATGACTGGCTATCCTGAGGAGAGGTGGGAGGGCAGGAGCATTTGGGAGCAGGAAGGGGGAACTGGGTGGGTGTCCTGGCACCTCTCAGGGGGGCTCGTTCAACTCAGCCCTCTCCCCCTTTGTGTCCACAGCCAACTACCAGCCTCCGCAAACACCCTACTACTATGGTGAGTCCCCTGGCTGACTCCAGGGCAACGTACAGGGTCCTGGGCGCAGCACCTCCTACCTGTCTGGGAGTCCACCCCACAGGGCCCCGGAGGCGAGGGGAGGCCCCAGGTACAGTGAGAGGCACCTAGAGCCAGCCCCTTCTCTGATATGCCCTCAGTGGACGGGGACCCCCACTTCATCATCCAAGTTGCAGAGAAAGATGATGCCATTTGCTTCAACATCGATGAAGACCCAGGCACGGTGCTGTGCCTCATCCAGGACCCAGTCACAGGTGGGCCACACGGACTGGTCCTCACTCTGCTCGGTGACACACCCATCTTCATATACACAGCACACCCCTTCCCTGGGGGCGGGGAGGGCTGCCCAGAGCCATAGTCTCCTGAAGTCCCCCAGGTGCCAGTGGTGTTGGAGAGATGGTAAGAGTTAAGGGCAGCCTGGGGCCAGGACCCAGCCTGTATCTGGCGAATAGTTTTTCTCTAAAAGTTTTGCTCCCTGGCCCAGCCAAGGTGCAGGTCCACAACAGCCCTCAGCAGCCAGCATGGCCCAAGCATGTCCAGGACAGACAGTACTGCATTGTAAAGTCCTGCTCTCTCCTTGGGCCCCACTCTCCTACCCCTCAGCAGGCCTCTCTGAAGGGAAAGCCCTATTCCTAAATGCCAGCCTGGATTCATACCATCTCCCTGGTTTCCCCCTGCCCCGTCACCCTGGCAGGCCTCACGGTTAATGGGAAGATCATTGGGGACAAGATAGCCAGCCCTGACTCTCAGACCAGAAAGACTTACTTTGGAAAACTGGGGATTGCCAATGCTCAGATGGATCTCCGGATTGAAGTGACAACGGAGAAGATCATCCTGTGGAATGGGGCTGTGCAGAGCACTTTCAGCTGGCTGGACACAGTCACAGTCACACAGGATGGGTAAGATCCCTCCACTAGGTCTCCGAGGGGTGCTACAGCCCAAGGGCTAAGGAGGCTCTTGAGAGACTTGGAGAAATTCCAGGACAGAAGACCCACAGAAGTCACAGGAGAGACTGGTGGCCTTGGAGTTCAGTTCCCTGCCCTGGGAAGGGTGACCACGGTGGCCTCTACTGCAGGGCCTGTCAGAGCCAGAACTGGTAGCTGGACAGGTTGTAGGACTGACCTTTAGGGAAGGGTGCTTGGATGAAAGATACTAACCTGGAAATCAGATAATAAAGATAATTCCCATTCACATCTTCTCTGGCTTAAGTAGTTAGTTCTCAAACTCCTCGGCCTCCCCTGTCTTCAGATTTCCAGAACCTGGTGGGCAAAACAGGAATGTTACCCTCAATGAGGGTCAGAGAGGGAGTGGAACCTGCCGAAGGTCACATAGGAAGTCAGTGGCTGAGCTAGGGTTGAACCCTAGTCCTCTGGACTCCCAGGACAACCCTCATCCCTACTTACAGAAAGGAGTAAGAATCCACTCAGTGGAAGGCATGGACAATATGTGTGAGGCATCTTCTCTCCCACACCTCCAAGGTGGTTTCTGGAGTCTGTGTACTCCCAGGTGCCATGTGCAGGGAAGGTTCTGCTGAGACATGCTTCAATCATATGTCCAGTGTCATGGGCGCTGGACCCCGTGGCCATCTGCTGACCTCCTCTTCTCTCCCAGGCTGTCTGTGACAATCAACAGGAAGAAGAATATGGCAGTCTCCTTTGGAGATGGGATTACCTTTGTGGTCGTCCTGCACCAGATGTGGAAGAAACATCCTGTCCACCATGACTTTCTGGGCTTCTACGTGGTGGACAGTCACCGGATGTCAGCACAGACACACGGGCTGCTTGGTATGGACTATTCAGGCTGCAGACTGTTCAGGCTATGTGCAATCTTGTACCCAGTATACAACCCAGTCTTTGCATCAACCCTGAAAGGCCAGTGGCCGTGTTACCCGTGCTAATGGCTAGGGGCTGACAGTGTAAATGTTTTTATTCCCAGGACAATTCTTCCACCCCTTTGACTTTAAAGTGTCTGACATCCACCCAGGCTCTGACCCCACAAAGCCAGTTGCCACAATGGTGGTGAAGAACCATCAGCTGACAGTCACCAGGTGAGGGGGCACCTCTGATCCTGCCTAGTAACAGGAAAGAAGGAAACAGCCCTCTCCAAGCAGGCACATTTGCCTGGTGGGCTCTTATCTTCTGTGGGGTACCTTTGTTTCCCTCTGGAGTCTCGGCCCCCTCTAAGCCCCTCCTAATCAGGGAAAAGGGCCAAACTTGGCCTCCTAGAAGGAGTCATCATGTGACTCTCATTATTGACCGAAGACTTCTGGGTTCTCAGAATTACCAACTTCATATCCTTTTTAACCTTAGCTCCATGATCTTAGCGGCCATCTTTTCCACCCTGTATGACAGCATCTGTCTCTATTCTCCCAGGGGCTCCCAGAAAGACTACAGGGAGGATGCCGGTATCGGCACAAAGGTCGTCTGCTGGTTTGTCCACAACAACGGGCAAGGGCTGATTGATGGCACCCACACCGACTACATTGTCCCCAGCCTCTTCTGAGTAGAAACGCCAACTCCTGCTGAGAATGGCTGGCCAGCCTGACTAGCATCAAGAACAGGGGCACAGAGCAGGGCCTGCAGGAGAAGCTGGAACAATAAAGCTCAAGTTGGAAACCAGACAGCCGCCAGCCTCTGCATGCCTATATGGGCCCCTGCTCCAGGGAATGAACAGCTGGGCCCTGAGGCAGCTCAAATGAGGCAGCGGCTAGTAGGAAGGCAACTTCCTGGGCCTCTCCACCTATGCAACTGAAAGATGGGGTTGGTTGAGGTGGCATTTTAGGGAGTCAAATGTATAATAGTTTTGGAAGGAAAAATCAAGAATTGACTCTAGAGAAAAAGGAGCTCCCAGAAGTTGGGAAGGACTGAATGCATATCAGAGTCCAGGAGGGTTATAATACAAGTCAGGGGTCATTGTTAAGGAGCTTCTATCAGGACCTTCAGGCCTGAAAGTCCTTCTATGACTCAGAAGCAAAGAGTGCTCCAGGCAAGACACAGCTCACAGCTAGATGGGGATGTCATCCACCCCTTAATCCTTCCAATTATTTATCCATCCATCCGTCCACCCACCCACCCACCCATCCATCCATCCATCCATCCATCCATCCATCTACCTACCCATGCATTCACCCATCCACCAAACCATCCATCCAGCAGATAAACACAACATCCACTCTAAGCCAGGATCTGGGGCACACAGCTTAGTAACCCATGGGTGTCTCAAGTTTGCATTCATCTGGGTCAGGCAAAGCCAGGATCCTCTATTCACACCTCATGGTGACCACCTGCTCCACCCCTCAAGGAGTCCAGGGTGGAGACAGAGAGAGGTTCTTGGAGGAGGGGCTCTGAGAGCTGTCCAGCTTGGACAACCCTCTCTGTCTGGACCATTGCAATTGCCCCTTTCTGGGTCTCCTTGTTCCTCCTCTCCTGCATCCCACAGAGAGCTTTTCACTAAGCAGGATTGATCATTGCTCCTTGCCTAAAATCCTATAAATGCCTTCTGTCATCCATTGCTCTTGCGAACAAGACAAAAGTCTTTCCTATGGTCTTTCCAGCTTCGTTAGCCCATTAAACCAGGTGCCTCTCCTTACATTCCGGGTTCCAGACACACAGGCTATTTCCAGTTCTGCAAACACACCCTCCCTTGCCCCAGCTCCTTTGCCTCTGCTGTTCTCTCTGCCGGAGGGTCTACGGGCACACTGGGCAGAGAGTGCTCCATTGAAGGAAGCAGTTGGTGGTTGGTGGTAGAGCAGGGGAGCACAATAAGGCCGAAGGAGTTTGGAATCAGATTGGAAAGGGCCATGAATACCAGTAGGGGTGGGGTCAGGCCATGATTCACTAGGAAGTTGTCCTTCCTCCCACTCTGGGGGCCCAATGCCCTCTCCCCCCCATTGGAGCCTAAATAGGGTTTTCCAGGGCTCACACTGGCCTGGCGGCTGGAGAGGCTGCTGGAGGTTGAGAGGGCAGTCCAGGAGGAAATGTTTACCATCAGAGGGATCTCAGGTGGCTAGTAGGGCTACTGGTGGAATTGGCAGCCGTTAATTGCCCTAGGGATGGGGCACGTGAGACACTGCTCCCGTTAATTGCCCTAGGGATGGGGCACGTGAGACACTGCTCCCGTCCTGATGACTTCCCCATGGCCCCAGGGTGAATGTGACAGAAGCCCTGGCTGGACTAGCCTGTGAATGGGGCAGGAAAGGGAACCCCTGGAGGGCGTGGGCCTGCCATCCCATTCAGGAGTGCTGGATCAGCTGAGGAGCCATATGGCTCTAAGCCAGTCATCTTGAGTGTCAGTCTTCACATCTGCAAAACGGGAAGGAAGATCCTGCCAACTGGAGGGTATGCAAAGGCAGCGTCGTTAGTTTCTGCCCATCTCTGCCCTGGTGCTCCAGAGAGAAACCAAGCCTGGCAGGTCAGGGAGAAAAACAGGAAGAGGGGCTCCAGTCAAAATTCTGCCTCCTCTCCCCAACACGCAGATGGGGAGGCCCTCCACACAGGCAAAAACTAGGCAGACTATCCTTTCCGTAATCCCAAGTCATCCTGGCTGCACCTGTCCCTACCTACAGCCTCTGATGGCTCCCCAGTCTTTCAGGGTAGAGGCCATGCTTCATGGCAAGTTGGACACGGCCCATGCTGGCCTGGCTCACCCTCCTCACCTCGCTCTCCATCATCCCCTTCACCTTGTCCCACAGAACCTCTTTCCTTCATGTCCCTGAACTCAGTGCAGCGTGTTTTCACTCTAGGCCTGGGCACATGCTGTTCCCTCCGCCTGGTGTCCTTGCTCTCCTTTTCCATTGGGCTAACTTCTCTTTGTTCTTCAAAACTCAACCCCAGTGGAACTAAAGCCACTCCAGGAGGTCACCTTTCACCCAAATAATAGATTGGCCTATAAAATAAACAGTAACACCTGTGAGGAATGTGTTCGTTAGAACAGTCAACTACAGGAGACCAAATGGGCAATATTTGCCCAAAAGAAAAATGAGAAGGCAAGGAGGCTCAGGGAAACTGGAGGGATGGAAACGAGGAAGGCAGGGTGGAAATGGGGACAGTGCTGATATATCGCGGGGATAGCAACCAATGTCATGGAACAATTTAACAATTTGTGTATGAATTGTTGAATGGGAAACTAATTTTTTTTTATTGTGCTAACTAAATAACTTTTGAACACAGTACTTTAACTATATAAATTCAGGTTAAAGGTAAAAAGAACTCTAGTTAAGCAGAGTTTGAAACCTAGTTAAGTAGGTTTGATTTTTCACAGTAGTATAATTAGCAATTCTGAAAACACCTTACGTAAGAACCAGTTGCCCTTGAGTAGGCTGCAATTCAGGGCAACGCCATGTGTGTCAGAGTAGAACTGTGCTCCATGTGGTTTTCTTTTTCTTTTTTTAAATTGTATTGCTCTTTAGTTGAAAGTTTACAGGGCAAACTAGTTTCTTATTCAAAAGTTTATACACAAATTGTTTTGTGCCACTGGTTGCAATCTCCACAACGTGTCAGCGCTCTCCCCCTTTCCCTTTAAACTCTGAGTTCCCCGTATCCATTCCTCCAGTTTTCCTGTCCCTTTCTGCCTTCTTGTCTTTGCTCTTGGGCAGGTGTTGCCCATTTGGTCTCATATGCTTGACTGAACTAAGAAGCATGTTCCTCATGTGTATATTTGTTTGTTTTACAGGCCTGTTCAATCTTTGGCTAAAAGGTGGACTTCGGGAGTGGCTTCAGTTCTGAGTTAGCAGGGTATCTGGGGGCCATAGTCTCAGGGGTTCCTCCAGTCTCTGTCAGACCAAAGTCTGGTCTTTTTTTGTGTGTGAATTTGAATTTTGGTGATTTTTCTCCTGCTCTGTCTGGAACCCTCTATTGTGATCCCTGTCAGAGCCATCAGTAGTGGTAGCCGGGCACCATCTAGTTCTTCTGGACTCAGGCTGGTGGAAGCTGGGGTTCATGTAGTCCATTAGTCCTTTGGACTGATATTTTCCTTTTGGCTTTGGTTTTCTTCATTCTTCTTTGCTCTGGATGGGATGGGAGAAATAGATGTATCTTAGATGGCCACTTGCAAGCTTTTGAGACCCCAGACGTTACTCATCAAAGTAGGATGTAGAACATTTTCTTTATGAACTATGTTATGCCAATTAACCTAGATGTCCCCTGAGACCATGGTGAATGGGAAATTAATTTGCTGTGTACACTTTCACCTAAAACACGATAAAACGTTTTTTTTTTTTAAAAAAAACTTGCTATTAAAATGTTCATTATTTAACAATTAAAAAAAAAAAGAAAAACCTTAACCCCAGCAACACCACTTCCAGAAAGCCTTCCCTGATATCCCCAAGGCTGGGCGAGATGTTTCCCCCTGGGCTCCTGCAGCACCTGGTGCTTTTCTGGGTGGCAGTGTCTGTCATGGTGCCCAGTGTATTCACAGCACCTGGCTTAGGCCTGGCCCAGGTAGGTGCTGGAAAGCACTTGGTGAATGAAACAGTGAAAGGCATGGCTCTCCTTGCAATGGTTCACAGAGGACACCTGCCCTGCAGGTGCTGGCTAGACCAAAAGTCACCTGTGACTCCTCTGCCATTCCACAGTACTGTTCAGGTAGCCTGTGTCCCAGAGGGGTGAGCTTAGGATAGACCCTCCTCTCCTTCCAGTGTGTCAGAGCTAGCCCCACAGTGAGCCTAACAGAGCCCCCCGGCTGCTGCCTTGTCTTACAGAGCTCCAGCCTGAGCCCCTCTGAGCATCTTTCACAAAGTGACTCAGCCTGAGGCCCCCTCCTCCCAACAAGCCTTGATGGAGAGGCAGCAGTGCAGGGAATAATGTTTCCGTGTGTTTGGCCAATCTGCTGCTGGAGATCCCTCCCACCAGCCTGTCCTCTGACCCTTCTAGAAAGACTCACTCAGTAAACATCCTCCATAGCTCAAAAGCTGGGAAAACAACATTTCCCCTTTGATTGTTAAGGTTGTGTGCCAACTTGGCTGGGCCATGATTCTCAGTGGTCTGGCAGTTACAGTGTAGTTTGGCAGTGGTATAATGATGTCATCACCTCCATGATGAGATCTGATATAATGTGATCACCTCCGTGATGGGATCTTCTGTGAGTAGCCTATCAGTTGAAAGGGAGTTTCCTTGGGGGTGTGGCCTGCATCCAATATAGGTGGACTTTCTGGCAAGGCTCATGGGCTTTTGCTGGCTCTGGATCCTCTAGCTGGCTCTTGTTTGTCTGACCTCCTGTTCTTGGAACTTGAGCTAGCAGCTTACCTTCTATCTTGCCTGCCAATCTTGGGATTCGCTGGTCCTCAGCCTGTGAGCCAGGAGAAGTTGCCAGTCTGATGCATGGACTTGGGGTTTTCCAGCTTCTATAACCTCATGAGCTATTTCCTTGATATAAATCTCTCTATATATATATATATTTACATGCTTTACTGGTTTTGCTTCTCTAGAGAACCCAGCTTAAGACATCCCCAATGATCGGGTTTGCTCAGCAACAAATGCACTCATTTTCTGCTTTGCCCTAGCTGCCAGGAGTCTCAGAGAGAAGCTTTGTGCTCAATCACTGCTGCAGCTTCCCCTACCCTGATATCTCTGATTTAACTGTCCTCCTGGTTGGCTGTTTTCTTTTATTCTCGTATTCCTGGTTTTGGGTTTTATTGTCTCTGTGCGTTTCATTTGTAAGCCATAGACTCATATCCTGTTTTTAGAAGTAGGTTGATTAATATATATATATATTTTAAATATACTTTGTCTGTGCAGGAATTGACTAGAATCTGCAGGGTGCCTATCTCTAGGGCATGGATAGGAGATCCAACAGCACAAGATTTAGAGGCTGATGACCTGGATCACCCCTATCAAACTGGAGCCTCCTGGGAAAGACCCTTGCTTCCCTCCAGAAACTGAGGGGACTTCACTCTGTCTCCCCTTTGCCTTCTTTATAAGGGGGCCCAGGGAGTAGGCTAACTTCTCTTTGTGAGCAGACAGGCCTGCACCTGAGCATAGGTGTGCAAATTAGACCATGCAATGCAAATTCAATTTCAAAGGGGTCCAAAAGCTTGTTGAGAGAGTCTGGGAATTGACCTATAAAGACTCTCATCCCCAGTTCACTCTTTTTTTTGAGTCAAACTGGTTTTTACAGACTGAGTGATCATAAAGCAGACTGACGCTTTGCTTTTGTAGAATGTTCTCTAGCCCTAGGTCCCTAGCTGGGGACTGATGTGGTATTTAAAATTGGTGGCTTAATCTCTCTAAACCTTAATTTCCCTGTGTGGGAAAAGTGAAGAGGCCAGACTGAAAGCTCACCATAGCTCCACTAGGCCCAGGCCCTTGAGGGGCTGACTGTCAAAGATTCCACTGTGTGAAGTGTCAGGATGGGATTCTGAGGCCGTGGGATTCAGAAGGATGGAACCTGAGACACTCCACTCTCTGGCTTGCCCCACCTTTTTTTATTTCTAACGGGTGGAATCCTCTTCCCCATCGCAGTTCAGGCTCCACGTCTGGCCCTGTGGTCACAGCAGCATACATATGTTGCTTCCTGCCAGGTGGCAGGGTGGTGACCGTCTGTACACAGTGGAGCAGAATGTGGTGTGGGGGGGCCCCACAGCTCCTCCCCTCTGAACTACAGCTCCACAGACCAGCAGGAAATCTGTGCTCCTGGAGGCCTCTCTTGATAATCCAGCTTGAGCTCTCTGGGATAGATACACAGGGAGGCAGATAGGCAGGCAGTTAGCAGATCTCAGGTGTGGTGGGAAGAGAGAGGGACAGCTAGGGATGGGGACATGGTGGGCAGGGAGCACTGGGGCCCCTCTAGAATTCCCTTGAGACATGCTGACAAGGCCCCGTCACCCAGGGGGCTACTGAAGGGGACCTCTTTGTGTATGGTCAGCAGGGTTCAGGGCTCTCAGAGTTCAGGGGGTTTCCTATTGCCCTAATCCACTCCATGATCTCTGGGTAGGTGTGTTTTCTTTGGGTCTGAGTTGACCATCCTTTGTGGGGTCACTGAGAGTTAGGACAGACACATCTGAGGAGTCACCCTTTCACCCAACTGTTTCTAGTTCCTCGGTACAGATGGTGAGGGGTGAGGGCCCGCTGAGCCCAGCTCCCACCCTCCCAGCCCTCCTCCTTGGCCAGGCTCAGTGGGCTGGCTTTTGCTGGATCACCTGGTGGCAAGGTGGTCATTCCCCTGAACGCTCAGCATTCGCTTGTTGTCTTCCACTTCTGGGGGCTTCCAGACCACGTCCTGGTAGAACTGGCCTGAGAAACAAAGGGTGGTCAGCGAGGGCAAAAACCAGAGAGACTGGGAAGCACACAGAGACCAAGTGGCACTGCCTTTTCCCAGGCAGAGGTGGTCCCTGAGGAGGTCCTGAGACCAGGCCATGGGTAGCATACCAAGGGTCCCACTGACGTGGCTGGAAAAGCAGTCAGTATCCCGCAGAAGGAGCCTGAGGCCTGCTCCAGAGCCTTCCCAGGACAACAGGCCGATGGTCACTTTGTCTGGACCACTGAGCAGCAGGAGACCAGTCTTGTCCATGGTCATCTTTAGGCTGTGGAAGAAACCAGCATCCTGAGCAGGAAAGTCGGGTATGGGAGGCCTGCATGGAATCTGGGCAAGAACCTCAGCATTGGAGTGGGCTGAGGCCAGGGGACCCTCTTGTTCTCAGGAATTCATAGTGCGATCTTGCATGAGAAGTTTGTTAAATCTTTGGGCTTCAGTTTTTCTCATTGGTAAACTAGGACCAAAGTTAACTTAATGATATCTGTTTATCCCAGTATTATTTATAAAATAATAGTTCCTATCCCTATTGTTTTCTTAAATTTTTTTTCTCATTAATTAGTTTTATATGGTTATATTATGTTGCATGGTTATATAGTATAGTGGTGGTTAGTTTTATATCATACAATAACATTATATATTGTCTTAGGTTGGTTTCTCTAGAGAAGCAAAACCAGTGAAGTGTGTATATAGATACAGAGAGATTTATCTCAAGGAAGTTCAGGCAGTTGTAGAGGCTTGCAAGTCCCAAGACCATGTGTCAGGCAACAGACTGGAGGCTTCTCCTGACTCACGCAGCTGCAGGGGCTGATGAATTCAAGATTGGCAGGTCATACAGCAGGCCACTGGCTCAAAAGCTGCAGAGGCTGACAAATTCCAAGATCAGCAGGCAATACGGCAAGCCCCTGGCTCAAGTCTCAAGAACTGGAGGTCAGATGATGACGAGCCAGATGCAGGATCCAGAGCAAGTCAGCTAGCTTTGCCAGAACATCCATATATATATTGGATGCAGGCCACACCTCTGAGGAAAATCCTCTTACAATTGATTGGCTGATCACATCAGATCACATCATAGAGGATGACTACATCATTACATAACTGCCACACTACATCATTACATAACTATAAAACCACTGAGACTCATGGCCCAGCCAAGTTAATACACAACCTTAACCATCACAGTCTACACCTTGTCAATGTGACACCTGTATACATCTCCTTAAACCATACACAATCTGTAAATAAAGACAATTACAAAGTCATACTTGCAGCTGAATGATACAACTAACATGCATACAACCGAAAGCACACTAGCACCAGTTACATCTTATATGAGTGAAGAAAACAAAAATATTTGATGTACATGTACAAGGAAGAAATGCTCATAACAGTTATGGTCCTTGTTTCTACAAATGGTCATATGATCTTAACTGATATTTAGAACTACCTTCTTCCATCACCCATTCTGTATTCCCTTTGCTCTCAGCAAGTATATCATCTGGTTGTGGTTCTGTCTGGTGGGGTGGCCCAAACCTTCACTCCTGAAGGGTATGGGCCATTAGTATCATGTTGGAATTGGCTTGCTGTATTTTTCATTGACTTTAATCACAGGGCCTGGTAGTACTAAGAGATGCCCTAAGGGGTCTCCTGTATTCCAGACGTACTCCTTTTTTACCTCCATTATGCAACATCAATCTGATTTCCCCTTTGTAGTCAGAGTCAATCACACCAGCCAAAATGGTAATTTCCTTCTTTGCCTGTTGATCCAGAGACATGAGGAGCCCAAAGTGGCCGGGTGATATTCTTAACTTCCAGTTCAGTGGAAGTCACGTTGTGTCTCCGGGTGGGAGCATTCCTCCCTTTGGAACTAAGACCTCTTGACCTGCAAAGCATAGGGTTGTGGGGTAGGAAGCAAATAGTTTGTGAGTGGGTTACTAGGGGTAATAGTGAGTGGTGCCATTTCCATCTCCATCCCTTGATTCCTGGAATCATGAATCCTGGCTATGGGAGAAAGAGTATGGTATATTAGAAGTGGGTTTAAAGCATATACAGCCCCCTGGAGAACATTGCACCAACCCTGCAAAGTGTTGCCACCTATCTGGTGCCATAATTGTGTCTTTAGAAGCCCATTACATATTTATATCAAGCCAGCTGCTTTAGGATAATGGGAAATATGGTAAGACCAGTGAATTCCATGAGCATCGGCCCATTGCCACACTTCATCTGCTGTGAAGTGAGTCCCTTGATCAAAGATGATGCTGTGTGGGATACTATGACGGTGGATAAAGCATTCCGTGAGTCCACAGATGGTGGTTTTGGCAGAAGCATTGTGTGCAGGGAAGGTAAATCCATATCCAGAGTAAGTGTCCATCCCAGTAAGAATGAAACTCTGTCCTTTCTATGATGGCAGTGGTCCAATGTAAGCAACCTGCTGCCATGTTGCTGGCTGATCACATCCAGGAATGATGCCATACTGGGGACTCAGTGTTGGTCTCTGCTGCTGGCAGATTGGGTATTCAGCAGTGGCTGTAGTCAAGTTGGCTTTTGTGAGTGGAACTCCATGTTGCTGTTGCTGAGCCCATGAATAACCTCCATCCCTGCCACCACGGCCACTTTGTTCACGAGCCTATTGGGCAATGACAGAAGTGGCTGGGGAAAGAGGATAACTGGTTTTCACAGAACACGTCATCCTATCCACTTGATTGTTAAAATCTTCTTCTGCCAAGGTCACCCTTTGGTGAGCATTCACATGAGACAAAAATATCTTCACTTCTTTGGCTCATTCGGAGAGGTCTATCCATAAATCTCCTCATCACCAATTTTCTTTTTCCCGTACTTTCTTGTCACCAGTTTTCCAGTTATGTTCCTTCCAAGTCCCTGACCATCCAGCCAAACTATCGGCCACAGCCCATGAATCAGTATACAATCACACATCTGGACATTTCTCCTTCCAAACAAAATGAACAACCAGGTACACTGCTCAAAGGTATGTCCATTGGGAGGATTTACCTTCACCACTGTCTTTCAGGGAGGTCCCAGCAAGGGGCTGTAGTGCTGCCACTGTCCACTTTTGAGTGGTGCCTGCATATCGTGCATAATCATCCGTAAACTAGGCACAAGTTTTCTCTTCCTCAGTTAACTGATCATAAGAAGCACCTCATGAGTCCATAGGTGCAGACTGAGAGAGGGCAGATAACGTGACAGGGGTGGAGATCATGGGCATTTGGATCACTTCCTCACGCAACTTACTTATGCCTTCACATCCTGCTTGGGCCCAATCTCGTATATACTACTTCCAATTAATGATGGAGTGCTACTGTGCACATCTGACTTTATGACGCTATAGGTCAGACAACACCCACTTCATGATGGGCAGCTCAGGCTGCATGGTGACTTGATGGCCGAGGGTTAACCATTCGGTCTCTACTAAGGCCCAGTAATGAGCCAAAACCTGTTTCTCAAAAGAAGAGTAGTTATCTGCAGAGGATGGCAGGGCTTTGCTCCAAAAGCCTAAGGGTCTGCACTTTAATTTATCAATAGGAGCCTGCCAAAAACTCAGAACAACATTCCTATCTACATTGATACTTCAAGCATCATTGGATCAGCTGGATTATATGGTCCAAGTGGCAGAGTGGCTTGCAAGATAGCCTGAACTTGTTGCAGAACCTCCTCTTGGTCTGGGCCCCACTCTAAACTAGCATCTTTTTGAGTCACTTGATAAGTAAACTGGAGTAGCACACCCAAATAAGGGATATGTTGCCTCCAAAATCCAAAGAGGCCCACCAGGCATTGTGCCTCAGTTTAGATGTGGGAGGGGCCAGATAAAATAACTTTTCCTTCACTTTAGAAGTAATATCTCGACATGCCACAAACCACTGGACTCTTAGAAAGTTGGAAGGTGACTGAATTTTTGTCGGATTAATTTCCCACCCTCTAGCACGTAAATGTTTTAACAATAAGTCCAAAGTCATTGACATTTCTCCCTTTCTACATCCAGTCAGCATAATGTCATCAATGTAATGGACCAGTGTGACGTCTTGTGGAAGGGAAAGGTGATCAAGATCCCTGCAGACTAAATTATGACACAGGACTGGAGGGTGGATATACCCCTGAGTTTGGACAGTGAAAGTATATTGCTGGCCTTGCCAGCTGAAAGCAAACTGCTTCTGGTGATCTTTCTAAACAGGTATGGAGAAAAAGGCATTAGCTAGATCACTAGCTAGATACCAGGTACCAGGCGAGGTATTAATTTGCTCAAGCAATGAAACCAGTTCTGAAACAGCAGCTGCAATAGGAGTCACCACCTGGTTAAGTTTATGATAATCCACTGTCATTCTCCAAAATCCATCTGTTTTCTGCCTAGGCCAAATAAGAGAGTTGATTGGGGATGTGGTGCAAATCACCACCTCTGCATTCTTCAAGTCCTTGATGGTGGCAGTAATCTCTGCAATCCCTCCAGGAAGATGGTATTGCTTTTGGTTTCCTATTTTCCTAGGTAGGGGCAGTTCTAATGGCTTCCGCTTGGCTTTTCTTACCACAATAGCCCTTACTGCACTTGTCAGGGATCCAATGTGGGGATTCTGTCAGTTGCTAAGTATATCTATTCCAATGATGCATTCTGGAACTGGGGAAATCACTACAGGATGGGTTCAGAGACAAACTGGACCCACTGTGAGATGAACCTGATCTAAGACTCCATTAATAATCTGACCTCCATATGCCCTCACTCTGACTGGTGGGCCACAGTGACGTCTTGGGTCTCCTGGAATTACTGTCAGTTCAAAGCCAGTATCCAGTAATCCCCCAAAAGTCTGATTATTTTCTTTTCCCCAATGAACTGTCAATCTCGTAAAAGGCCCTAGATCCCTTTGGGGAAGACTGAAAGAAAGATTAGCAGTATAAATTTTTTGACAGTGTAGTGGGGCCCTTCCTCAAGGGGATCCAGCCTTCCCTTCATTCAAGCAGTTGTGGGTCTGTAAACTGCCTCAAGTCTGGGAATTGATTGAGGGGCCCTGACTCTCTATTCTTGCAATTTGAGTTAGATTGTTGCTCACTTGATCTAGAATTCTTCCGCTTGTATAGATCAAATAAATATTTAGTAGATTTCCGATCTCCTTCACTCCTAGGGATACCATGACTAAGAAGCTAATGCCATAAATCCATATGATACAGACTATTCTGATTACTGCTTTCACTCCACTGTCCATTACGGTAACCATGCCCACCTTGTCTTTGTCGATTGAGTGCCACCACCTGGTCCCTACCACCACAGGGTCCAGTCAACCCCACTGTAGTTAGGTGTCTTAATTCAGTTAGTACAGTTCCACTGTCAAATCTGACTTATATAAAATAGCGACCACAGCAGTCTTCAAGGATGCTGGGACTCCCTTCACAAATTTGTTCCTCACCGTTGTGGTAAAAGGTGTGTCCTCTGGGCACTCCATGTGTGGGTCTGTGGGCCTAACCTGATAAATCCACTCTAACATGCCAATTTCACTAAACCTTTGGATACTTTCTTCTACAGTATACCAAGGCAGGTGTGGTACTTCAATTTGATTTAGTGTATGCCACTGCATAATCCATGCATCAGTAAACCAACCAAATAAACTATTAGATCCCTTCCTAACCTCTCGAGCTGAAACACTGAGTGAAGAATCTGTGCTTAGTGGGCCTGTATCAATAGACTCAGACTGATCCAACTTTATGTTCCTTGCACAATTATCCCACACCCTTAACAGCCATTCTCACACATATTCCCCAGGTTTCTGTTTGTACATATTAGAAAAGTCAAGCAGTTCTTTTGAAGTGTAGCATACCTCATCCTGGGTCACACTTTGAACTTCACCTTTTGGGACTTAATTCTAGTTACAGGTCTAGAAGCAAGAATAGGTGGTGGGAGTGGGTCCTGGGAACATTCAGCAATGTCTTGTAAGGCATCTACCTCAGGCGGTGCCCTAGGCAACACCCCAAGCACCTTCTCAGGTGAAAGGGATAATGGTTTTACTGGGGAGGGTGGCTTGGAAGACAAAATGGAGTGATCTCTTCAGATGAGCATAAGAGGGCTGGCTCCGTTGGCAGGAGTGATTCCACAGAATTTAGGAGCTCAGTTTCCCCAGCTTCCTCACTATCTACCCATATGTCCCCATCCCTAGTTTCAGGAACCCATTTCTTCCCAATCAGCGCCCTCACTTTAACTTCAGACACCCTTTGAGGCTGGAATTCAGTTGGTGGTGTAATTCAGCCACTCTCACGATAAGACTCTGGGTTTGGTTTTCGGCAATATCAGCTCTGTCCATACACGAAATAAGGCTTTCTTTCAGGGCACAAATGGCAAATTTGAGGTCTTTCATGCAGCGCTTGAGCTGTAACTCTGAAGCCCTGAGCTCATCTCTTTCTTTCAACACTATGTCTAGTGAAAGAAGGACCAACCAGCCAGCTTCCTTATACTTCTCATTCTGACAAATTGTAGAAAAGTATCAAACATGCACTCACCCAGAGTCTTGCTTCTCACCAATACTTGATCTACTAGTGGTGATGTTTGGCATATTAATATTGCCACCCCATGCCATGGATTAGTAGAGCCCTCTTTACTACTGGAGGCAGAGCTATCAATGTCTTTAAGACTAGTCAGACTTGAGAACCAATTCAGAAATCTCATCCTTACGATTTTGTTTCTCTAGAACCACTCTTGGGATCAAATGTCTTAGGCTGGGTTGTGTACAGAAGCGAAACCAGTGAAGTGTATATATAGATACAGAGAGATTTATCTCAAGGAAATGGCTCACGCAGTTGCAGAAGCTGGCAAGTCTCAAGTCCGTGATCAGACGTCAGGCTGGAGGCTCTCCTGACTCATGTAGCTGCAGGGGCTAACCAACCCAAGATTGACAGGTCAGATGGCAGGCTGCTGGCTCAGGGGCTGTGGAGGCTGATGAATCCAAGATTGGTAGGTAAGATAGCAGGCTGCTGGCTCACAGGCTGTGGAGGCTGACAAATACCAAGATCAGCAGGCAATATGGCAGGTCCCTGGCTCAAGTCCCAGGAACCAGAGGTCAGATGATGATGAGTCTGATGCAGGATTCAGAGCAAGCCAGAACATCATATATATATTGGATGCAGGCCACACCTCCGAGGAAACTCTCCTTACAATTGATTGGCTGATCAAATCAGTTAACATCATGGAGGATGACTACATCATTACATAACTGCCAAACCACTGGGAGTCATGGCCCAGCCAAGTTGACACACAACCTTAACCATCATATATATTATTATATATAATATATGAAATATAATATAATAACATATTATATTACTAGTTTTGTATGATTTTGGAAGTTTCTCTGATACATCTACTCTGTCCCTTTTGTTTTAAGGCTGGTGCCATGTTCTTGATGACTAGCATTTTATAATGTGCTTTAATGTCTAGAAGGGCAAATCCTTCCTCATCCTATGCTCTCCTTTTTTCTTAAAATAATCTTGGAAATTCTTGCCTTTTTTCATTTTCTTATGAATTTTAGACTTCTTTAAGCACGTCAAATAAAATACCCTGCTGTTACTGTGAGATTATTTTAAATGGAATTGCCCTAAATGTACACTGTCCTGTTGCCTTGATTCAATCTGAAAGATGTGGCTTATTTTTCTTCATATATATCGTCTATAGCTCATCATAGACCAAGAAAGTATGTGGACAATTAATAGGAATTCTTTATTCCATTTTTCAGTTTGTATGTCCAGTATGTAGAAATGCTATTGATCTTTATATATTCCTCAGATAACAGTAGACTTTAGGAAGATTTTTTTATGAAATCGGGAAGTGTTTCAGACAGTCCACTTGGATTTGCTGCATGGGTACTCCTTTGTCAAATGGAAGTGAGTCTCTGTCAAGGGGCTTGGTGAGACAGCCTTGGACTAGGCCCTCCATGCTCAGGAAAAGATGTGCTATGACATAGGCTGGGGGCTAGGAGGGCACTGTCCACAGAGGTTCCAGATCTTCAGTCCCTCTCCCAGGAACCCTCGCGACTTCTACAGCCAGAGAGCTGCCTCTATAAGGCTCTACAGTCGGGCAGCCACACACTCATAAGAGGCTGCCATCCACCTCCATTACCCTCCAGCTGTCCAGTATTTGACCCAGATGGACTTGTCATCTGAGCTTCAAAATAGGCTAAGGAAAACAACAATAACCTTTCCCATGAGCAGTGCTTTCCAGCTTCTCATTATTGTTTCTATTACCTCACTGTGTATAGAGTGTCTCTGACAGTGTGCCTGGCAGGCACTGCACCATCTAATGGACAAAGGACTCCCCGACCCATTCTCCCACTGAGCCCTCCTCTCTGCCCCTGAGTCAGGGCTGGATGATCATCCCTAGTCTTTAGTGAGGAAAATGAGTCTCAGAGAGGCTAAGTGGCCTGTCCAGGGTCACCCAGGATTAGCAGCAGAGCTAGGTCCAAGCCATACTGTCACCTGGATGGGACTGTGACCTGGGTTAGGTGTGAGGGGAGCCAGATCTTCCCTTGGTACTCTCTAGACCTGGAGGGGTACAAGCAGGGCTCCCTGCTTCTCTACCCCTCCTGTGGTGCAGCCCATTGCAGAGAACTCCGCCCAGCCATGCGTGAGTCAGCAGTGTGGGCAGGCAACACAGGCTGAGATCACCGCCCAGTACCCCAGCCTGGGGCTTACCCAGGCATCACTGAGAACAGCGTTTCCTTCCACTTGTAAGCAGAGCTTCTTTGGTTCCGAGTCACCACCACGTGTTCAGGGGACACACGGACCCGCACCCGGGGGTTCCTGAAGGTCACTTCAATCCATGAAAACTGAGTCTTCTCCAACTGGCCAGTCACTTCAACCCCTGAGAGGACCAGGACCAGAGAGGCAAAGCTATAGTCCCCACGAGGGATGGGCGCTGGCCAGAACAGGAAATTCTCCCTGATTATGTTCCCTAGGAACCATTCTTCACCAACTCGCTTCCTCAGGAGGGATCCTCACCATCTGGAGCACCGTCCCCTCAGTATTCCCTCACACAGAGGTCTGGTTCCCATAATCGTCTCACTCATTTCTTGCTTCCATATGGCTTTGGAAGGGCCCCCACATCCTCTGTGGGGACTACTCTCAGGCCTCCCCCTCAGAACAAGACCTCTGAGAAGGGAGGTCTTCTCTCAATGGCCAAGAATGAGAGGGAAAATCAGTGGTCTCTGCCCTCAGGGAGCAAACAGACTTTGGGGCCTGGCGTGATTAGGTGGGAAACCATGTGGTGTCTAAGAGGTACAAAGGAGCTGTAAGTTTCGATGGCTCTGAGTGCCTTTGCAGGTGTGTATGAGAGCATCCCTGAGTGTGTGTGTGCACCTACTACTGTCCAGCCACCTCAGCTAAAACAGGGAGGCCCTTCTCAGGGACCTGGCAGCATGTCTACCTCCTACCACCATACCCCTCCTTCACCCTCTACAGTCCCACTAGCATCTTTTGGGTCTCTGTGCTTCTCCAGGTGCTAATTCCTCCATCTGTAATATCCTGACCCTTCCTCTGCCTAGCGGACTCCTGCTTGCCTGCCGAGGCCCAGCCACTCCTGTGTGACTTTGTCTGGCTCCCCTGACCCTCAGGCAGTTCCTGCCTCCCCCTCTGTGCTCACTCTGGGCACTGACCACTGGCCACTGAGCTTATGCGCACCTGGGTCTGCCCGTTCCAGAGTACGGAGTGCCTGGGGCCAAGCCCATGCCTGGGTAAACAGTGATCCCAGAGTGCCCAGGCCGCCCAGACCTGCAGGTGTGGCACTCAGGGAAAGGTCTGTAGGGTGGATGTGTTGGTGCACAAGGGCATGAATGGGAGAACATGGTCTGTGCTCTGTGACAGGCCTGTGGACGAGGCCTGCACACGTGTGTCTCTGCGGGCAGGTAAGTTGGTGGGCATGGCATGGGTGGACGGTTGTGTATACATCTCTCACCTTGGTGAGGGTCCAAGAGCAGATTCATTGTCCCCTGAGAGTGCCTAATGTCCACACAGAGCCGGTCCACGCTCTGCCCAGGCAGCGGCAGGATGACATGAGGAGCCTGGATAGAGGCTGGGAGAGCAGGTGCAAGGGTCCTGGGGCAGGTTGAGTAGGCTAGGGGTCAAGGATGGGGCAGGGTGCTGAGGGGGGCTGGCAACTCACCTGGGATTGGGGCTGTTGTGACTGTTTCTGGAAAAAAAAAAAAAAAAAGTCTGGGTTTAGGCAGCCCTTTCCCGGGGTGTAGGGGAGGAGAATGGAGTAGTGGGTGGGTGTGGTGGAGGCTCCCTCTCCACTTCAACATGGAGAAACCTATGTGACAGGTTCGTAGAGATCTGCAGGGCTCTCCCTTCCCAGGGTCTCCCTGTTATAGGGCAAGAAGTTACTCCAGGGGCTCTCGTCTGGTTTAATTGTTACATCCACATCACGAAACACTTGTCGATCAGAAACTGAAGAGGTTAATAGCAACAAAACAGACATTAGTGCAGGAATAACCAGAAACAGAAAGAGAGAAGGCTGATCAGAGCGATCAGCACACCTCCAGCAAACACTGCCATCCACCAAGCCCTTCCCCCACAACCCCTGCCCCACAACACGCAACCTAGAAGAGCCTTTGCAGGTGGAGATTTCCAAAAGGAGAGCCTGCTACTAGGGAAAACACTGAGGAGACAGGGTCCAGGCTGGTTGAGTCCAGATTGGGGGATCAGAAACAGCTCGGGAGACCAGTTTTGGCTTTGTGAATGGAGGAAGTCTTCCTTTTCATCATGAATGTAATGAACCCAGGATGTAATGAACCCAACTGAGTGAAAATTAAAGGATTCATGAAGTCCAGCCTTGGGGACCAGAAGCCTGATGGGGCTGAGGAAGAAAGACTTCTCTGAGCCAGTGTCCTTAATCTCGGTGGCACAGAGGTGCCACAAGACAGAAGGGAAGGAGGGAGCTGACAATGGTCCAACGAGCCCCATGGTGAGCAATCTTGGCTGGCCTCCTCCTGCTCTGAACAAAGGAGATGGGAGAGGCTACTCTGTCAGGGCTTGTGGTCTGACAACCTACGACTCCAGGGACAACTAAAGTAGCTAGGAGAGCTCATATCTAAGGAAATAAAGTACTGAGGTTAAGGCAAACGAGTGATTAGTGGAAAGTGATGAAGGTGAGAGTAGCCTCCTCAGGAAATGCTACTCTCCCCACCAAGCCCTGCCCCTGCTCTCCTCTCTCCACCGGACTCTCCTTCAGGAGAAGATTTTGCATTAAACTTAACCTCTATTACTTAATGTCACACCCACCCACCCCTAGAAGCTCTCGCTGGTCTGTGCCAAGCCCTTGATAAAGCACCAAGCTTGAGGGACTTAACCTGGTGCTTTATCAAATCCGACTTACTTGGTGCTTTATCAAATCCAACTCTTTGGGGCAGGTTCTATTATCATGAAGAAACTGAGATCCCTAGAGGGTCACAAAGTGGCTTACGCAATGACAAGTCTGGTAGTGACTCCCGGTTCTGATTGCCGAAGTTCTGAAGGTGGAACGTAGGAGGAGAAATAGGAGGACGATCATGGAACTGGGCCGTCTGGATTTTCATGTATCTCTTGGAATCTCCAGCTTTAGGAAAAATTGACACCAGCAGAGTCTTCTCTCATGCAATGCCATGGGTCCCCACAGACAGGGCTCTGGCTCCCCTCCCCACACCCTGCCACCCTGGGAGACCCCCGTAGCAGCTGGGAGAACATTAAGGCTGCAACACTGGACCCCTCTAGAATTTCTCCTCCCTGGGATGCCATGCCTCCCCCCTAGCGGTGCCCCTCACACTACCTGGTCTTGCCATTCCTCTTCTTCCAGTAAAGCGAGCATTTGCAAGACTGCCTCCTAATCAGACATACCAGGACTTGAGTCTCAGCCCTGCCACCAGCTAGCCAAGTAAGCCAGGCAAGTCACTCCCCTTCCACAGCCAGGGGCCAGCCCAGCCTGTGGCTGGGGTCAAGTTTCCCTCCCCTCCCCTCTCCTTCGTAGCTACCTGCTAATCTAAGCCATCCATTTCCTCTGGTCTGAACTCTGGAGGTAGTGTGAGCTGGAAATCAAAGAGACCTGGGTTTGCGTCTTGGATCTACCTTTCTGGGGCCCCCAGCTGGCCACGGATTGTGTCTCTACTGTCCGGGACAGTGCCTGAGACAGAGGAGTGCCAGCCAAAATTTGAACAAAGAGGTGACTGGAGACACCGGTGCACTTGGACAGACGATGTCCCTCATGGCAGAGGGAACCACAGAGTCAGGCTCTTTGAGGATCCAGGTCCTCACCAGCAACCTTGTGGGGCTGGTGCACTAGGCCGTGTGTAAGCGGACCATCACCCAGGCCAGCCATTGAGGATGTCAGGCCCTTACCATATCCTGATTAGACATTCGTATGTTTGTTTTCTGGGTAAAATGAGAGACAGAGAGACAGAGAGGGAGAGAGAGAGAGAGAAACGCTTGGGGGTGGTTTTGATCAATTTGAGGTGCTTATGTTTAATCTTAATTCCCAACCCCAGAACAACATAGGTGCAGTGAATTAGGGGAGCCAGAAGCCCTGGCCTCAGTTTCCTCATCAATGAAATAGGTCAAGTCTCCCAGGGCTCTGTCCCCTCCTGGGAGTCTGTGGGTGGCAGGATTGGGGTCTCTGTCGGGATGCAGGGGAATGGTTCGGGAGGGTGCTACTGAGGAGCTCTGCTGCCTAGGAAGCTGGGGGCACCAGTCCCACACCTACCATCTTCCTTGGGCTTCTCAGCAACTTGAGACTGTTCTTGGCCTTCAGGTTTTGTGACCACCATAGACGTGAGAGGTGTGACAAAGCTGTAGTTGAGTGACAAGCTCAGAGCTTGGTTCTTGAGGGCCGGCCTCTCAGTGGCTGATGCAGAAACACTGCAGGTTGAGAATACTAGAGCTCAGCAGGTCCCCAGAGGCCTGAACACGTCCCCTCCCTTCTGGCCCCTTCTGGGAGGGTCTCCCTGGGAGAATACGGGGCTCAGACATGACACCAAGACCTTCCTCTCCAAGCCTAGGTAATGTCCCATGCCAGCCAGTGCCCACCCTACCAGCAAAAAGCTTGGCAGATGCTGATGCCGAGTGTGGCCAGCCCAGCTGCCCCTGGGCGTCCAGGCCACTCACATTTGCTCCAGCAGTTGCTGGATGGTCAGGTATGCCCAGAGTCTCTCCATGAAGTTGTGGAAGATGTACTTGGGGCTCCGGAACCCCTCCTCCTGCTCAGTCACGTTGGATTCCGTTTGGAAGATGAAATTCTGCTTGTGCTGGAGAGAAGGACCCAGGCAGGGCAGGAGCAGTGAGGGCCTGGCATCTCTCTGCACCTGGCCTGGCACTTCCAACCACCTCCATGAGAAACCTGGTTGGAGCTGGGGCAGGTCCCAGACGCTGGCTGCAAGGACCGCATTTCCTTTGAGTAGAGTGAGGGGGTCAGGAAGGAGTTTGGGGATCCAAGGGGCTCAGTCACAGAACCTCCAAGGATGAGAGGAGGAGCAGATAACAGGTAGTACCCTATCCTGGGTGCAGCAAGGCTGGTGCGGAAACAGGAGTGAGGCCTGGCAGCCCCTTAGGGAGAAAGGGAAGTGAGGATAGAATCTGAAGCCCCAGGCCAGTGCAGAAACAGCAGGAAGGACTGGCAAGTGCAGTGTGGAGCAGAAAGGGTCTCCAGATACAGCCCACCCTCACCCCAAAGATGGGGAAACTGGGGACAGAGAAGGGAAGGGTCAGTGGCAGAACTGAGAAGAGAACTCAGGCGTCCTGGCTCCAGGTTCAGGGCCCTGCCCACCCCAACAAGCCAGCCCCTCTGCTGGGCTCTGTACTGTCCTACGGTGACGGGGAGGAAGGTGCCCATGCTCTGTGTGGACTGATTGCTGCCTTCCCTGGGGAGGGGCTGTGGTCTCAGGCTTACACAGCTCACAGCCTGGGAGACGACATCCGGCCCTGGGTGGAAGAACCCAGCCCTCTCCCACCACAGTTTCCCACAACAGCCAAGAGACCTTCTACAACATTGACCAAAGACCCTGCTTGAGCGGCCTGCTCTGATCCTCACCCAGAGCCGTGGTTCCCAAAGCTCTGTCCCTCAGGCCGCCTGCATGAATTCTGTCCTACCCGCACACACAGCTATTTACTTGATGTTTTTTTCTTAAATGAACTTTAAATAGACTAATGTTTTTACTTGGTCTTGTCCCAAGCAATAATAGCTATGAAATCTTAGGTCTCGGGTTTGAGTAATATTTTTTAGAGGGCACATTAAAACGAACGGAGAACTACTAAAACAAAGACATGTTTGTTTGTGAGCTACCCTGAATCACCTTGGGTTCCACACTCTGGGGACTCCTGGCCTCCAGGACAGCATCAGCAGCTAACAATTACGGAGTGCTTACACTGGGCCAGCTGTAATCCCCACAGTAGCCTTACTAGGTGAGTATGGTGACTCAGTCCCATTTTTACGAAGGAGAAAATTGAGGCAGGGGGAGATTAAGTGACTCACCCAAGGTCTCACCTCTGGGAAGTGGCAGAACTGGGTTTGAAGAGGGTGGGCTGGGCCTGCACTGACTGTTGTGAAATGTGGCTACCTCTCCCAGGACCGTGTCCCAGGCCTACTGCCATTCTCCCCACACATGCTGCCCTCCTGCCACCCTGGCCCAGAACATTCCTACCTCACGCCACCACCGGCTCTATACACCTCCTGCTCATCCCTCTGCCCCAGCTCGGCCTCCTCCAGAAAGCCCTTCCTGAACTCCAGACCCGGCTGGAGCCCCTGGTGCTGCCCTCCTGCATCCCTGGGTTAATCCTCTGGCAGGTGCATCCTGGCCTGCAGCTCCTTGTTTGTGTAATGATATGTCTGCCTTGGGTCTGCCTTGTTCACTGCTGTATCCCCAGGGCCTAGAGAAGGATCTGCACCTAGTAGGTGCTCAGCTTCTCTTTGAGGAATGAGAGGGACTCCCTGGAAGGAGGCGACGCAGGCAGAGATCCTGTGTCACAGAGGATGGGCAGAATGGGCACAGAGAGGGCACCACGTGGGGGAGCCAGGCTCTCAACCCAAATGCAGTGGGGCCTGGGGCCAGTTGCCTGCCCTGTCTGGAGCTCGGTCTGGTTATCTGTGAAATGAGAGCAGCCATCCTGCCTGACTAAAACCTCAGAGGGCTGGTGTGAGGATGGGAGGGATAACAGGAGTCCTTGCTGTCACCTGTGCTCACAGTCACCACAGGCAGCAACATCATGTATGGACTGCTGAGTGCCTCCCACGTGCTGGGCACAGCACAGGTGTTCTCATGAGCCTCACTGTATTATTTCACTGAACCTCTACTACGAACCCATGAGGTGGGGATGGCTGTCATCCCCAAGTGCTGAAGGGGAAATCCGAGGCCCAGGGCATTCTGCAACTTGCCCAAGGTCAATCAGCTGGAGCTCGGTGGGGCTGGGATCTGAACCCAGTTCCTTTGGCTGCAAAGGTGGAGCCTTCCCCTTGCCCTAGCTGCCCTTCCACTCGAGACTGGCTGGTCGTACTCACCACCCGCCCGCTGACTTTGGCTGAAAGTACATCAGGGCTCTGGTCGCAGAGCTTCCCGGCCACCACCATCTCTGAGCCCTTGAAGAAGACAGGGAAGTTTTCCCGCGTGACCTTCTCCACGGCATTGCTCAGGTACTCAAAGTTCACCCCAGTCAGCAATGGGTTGGCCACCCCCTGGTAGAAGTCCTGCAGGGTAGGGGGTGGGGTGTCACGAAAGCCAGGCTGGGGTCTGCCCAGCCTCCCTGTGCCCTCCTCCACTCAGGGGGCACGCTGGCACCTGGAGCTGCAAGGCGGAGTCCGAGTCCTCGTAGATGCGCCGAGCCAGGCCGCGATTGTCCAGCGCCAGCTTCTCCAGGAAGGTGTAGCTGACGTCAAAGCCGAAGCCCAGGCAGAAGAGGCTGTACTGGCCATCTATGGCTTCCCGCACGTTCTTCTGGATCTTTGCAGGGTTGGTCTCCCCTGGACCCACGGGTTCGGGAAGGGGATGTGAAAACAGTGATTCGCTCAGACTGTCCACCCCCACCCTAGGTCCCACAACACACTAGGGTGGGCCCCGCTGGCTCCCCTGGGCGGGACACTCACCCTCAGTAGGGTTGCCATCGGTTAGCAGGATGATAAGGGAGACTCCTCCGGCGGGCAGCAGCTCCTGCCTGTTGCTGTTGTCCAGCAGCTCCACGGCCGTCATCATTGCATTGTTGATGTTGGTCCCTGAAGGGCATACACTCTCAAGGTGGCCCCCAGCCCTGGAAGCCCCCACTGGCAGGGCTGCAGAGGCACTCACCTCCCAGGGCCTGGATGCTGGCAGCGTAGCTCTTGGCCTCCTTCACGTTCTTGGCCGAGGCTGGCACCAGTGATGGCTTCCACTGGGTTGACGCCCTGCTGAAGACGACGAGGTTGAACTGGTCTTTGGGGCGGAGGTCGTCCAGGATCTTGATCAGGGCTTCCCGGGTCTGGTCATGGAGAGGGGAGACAGGCTAGGGTAGGTGGCTCAGCGGGGCTTCCCTGAGGGCTCATGTGCCCTTGGGCTGGCATCCCTGGGCTCCTATCTGGGGTGGGGACAAGGGTGTATGCCCTGGGACAAGGATGCCCCATACTTTGGCCTACCTCTGTCCCTGAAGCTCCTACCCAGGGAGATGGAGGAGGAAGGGGCCGCCTGTTGGACTGGGGCTGATGGCGTGAGGGGCCCGGTAGTTCTCAGGGTCCTGGCCTGGCCCCCGGGACCCACCTGCTGGATTTTCCTGCCACTCATGGAGCCGCTCTTGTCAATGACGAAGACCACATTCTTGGGCATGGTGGGCAGGCGCTCAGGGGCAAAGTAGTGCACAAAGTAGCCATTCTCGATCTGTGGCCAGATTGAGGTGGCACCAGGTGGTCAGAGCCACAGCCTCACCTGCCCTGCACATCCAGTCTCCTCACCTTCTCCACCTTGAGGACACCAAGTCCTTAGGCTCCTTCTGTGCTCAGAGCCATTCATCCCCCATCCCATGGTTAACTCCTCAAATCCCAAGCCCTCTTTCTGTGCTCAGTCTAGCCGCTCTCATAGGAAGCCCTCCCTGGTCGTGCATGGCCCACTGGAATTCTCCCCCATTTTATCGCCTACATGTTGTAGTATCTGAGGGGGCTTATACTAAAAGGTCCAGACATAATAAAACTGAAAGCCACCAAATGGGAGGAAAGACTGCAAAGACAAGGAGTACAGGGGAGGCATAACCATGCCAGAAGCTTGGGTAAGAGAAGCTACTGCAGTTGAACATAAAGCTGAGCTGTGAGCCTCTTGGCAGCAAAGGCAGAGTGAAAACCTGCAGAGAAATTCTTCAACAGAGACAAACCTTTCATGGGCAACTCAACCAAGCTGCTTGTTTTCGGTCTGTGCTGGCCCCTCGTGCACACTGGCAAGCAGGGGTTGTTAGTTTGCCTCTTCTGAAACACCCAAGCTCAGGCTCTTGAGGGTGGATGGATTTCCGGGTTGGCCTGCTCTCACCTGGAGCCCACCCACCTGAATGGAGCCCCCTGAGAGGGCCCGGTCCACATCATAGCGGACAATAAAGTTGCCGTCCAAGACCGTGTCCTGCTGCCCTGGAGACTTTTGCTGCTGGGTGAGCGACGGCTTGAACTGGATGTGAGCCTGGAGGAACAAGCAGGGCTGAGGTTGGGAGGGGCACTGAGGCCATCCCAGCAATACCTGCCCCATTGGTATATCGGGAAGTGAGAATTCCAGGATGAAGGCCTTGGTCAATATTCTCAGGCTGAGCGGTCAGATGGATGGCCTCTGTGTGGGAATGGGCTGTTTTGAGAGTGAACCCCTGTTGCTGGGACTGTGCAAGCAGAGGCTGGACTCAGGACTTGTATAATCCAGCCATCTCCTCCTCTCCACCTGGCCCAGGACTCTCTCACAACTCTACTGTCCAAGTTCTTCCCCCACAGAGCTCAGGGTTCACACCAGCACCCATCAGCCTCCTCTAGGCCTTGCCCTGCCCATCTGCCAAATGACAGCATGGTCAGAGACTTCAGAGGTCCCTCCAGCTCAAAGAACAGGCCCAGTTGTCCTGCTCCCTAGAAATCTAGGCTCACTGCCTGGACTGAAGACTGGCTCCTGGAAGTCCCACCCCGCAGACCATGGCAGGCCCACCTTGGTCTTGTTCTGCGAAGTGGTGAGGGCTTCTGCCAGCTGTTTGGTCATGAAGGTGCTCTCCGTCTCTAGGAAGCTGATGCCCTGCGGCTCGAAGATGTGAATGTCCATCTGGAGGAAGGCATGGGCCACTGGATCAGCCAGGAGCCTGGGTGAGGCACAGTGGGAAGGAGGGATGGGGAGGGGACCATCAGCGTGGGCTCCTGGGAAGAAGCAATGCCAGGTACCTGCAGGCGCATGACCAGCTGCTGGGGCCGGACTTTGAGCAGCAGCTCGTACACCCCCAGTTGCCTTTTGAGCAGCTCCTCATACACCAGCTCGAAGGTGATTTTGGCAGCTGCGGCCAAGCTGACTGACACCTGGAACTGCTCCATCTTTCTCCCAGTGGCCCTGGGGAAGTAGGGCATCAGACACGCTCCTCCAGGCCAGGTGGGGTAAGGCCACGGGAGGTGGGGGTAGGACTGAAGGGCTGGAAGGCAAGGGCATCTTCTGCCCTCACCCTGGCCCCCCCGACCAGGGCTCCCACCACAGCCCCCTTGGGCTCACTTGACCAGGCCAGCAGTCCGGCCCTTGGCCACGGCCGTGCTGTACTGCTCCTGGGCTGCAGCCTTCTCCTTGATGTTCCCTGGGTAGGTCACACCATCGATGATCCTATGGTGGGGGCGGGGCAGGAGTTGTTGAGAGCCTGGTGGAAGGAGTCTACCCCAATCCCACCCCGCCAAGAGCCGCTCTGGGACTTGGTGTGCCTCTTGACAGAGTGACTCCTGTCTTTACCTGAGCCCACCCCATTTATTATGCACCTACTGTTGGCAGGGTACTGGGTGAGCGTGGAGAGTCTCTGCAAAGTACGATGGGTCTCCATCTACACAGGCTGTGCATGGTAGTGGCAAGCATGTGTTCAGGAGGGGAGGTTGCAGAGGAGACAGTGAATCCTGGCCTCTCTTTGCCCTTCCAATCTGGCATCACATTCCAACTTGCCCCCTTCCGCCTCACAGACTGTCCCCAAAGGAACTGGTTAAACCCCAGCAAGAGCTTTCTGAGCCCTGCGCGTGTCCAGTCCTGTGTCCAGCAGTGGAGGTCAGAGTCTGAGGCAGAGAAGGCTGTGATCCCCTCCCCATCCCTCACCCCCCACGCAGGACAGACACTCTACAGGGCAGCTGGCATCTCAGGAAATAGGTTCTGGGCAACTGGTTGATGGGACTGTCAGAGGTGTGGACATGCTCCTAGCTGCCATTCTTTGGGGCTGAGAAATAGAATTCAACAGGCTATTTTCAGGGAAGAAAAAGGATTGTTCTCCAGAACCTCTTCATAGGGTGAGAATGGACATGTCAGGTAAGTGTGTGCCTCGTCTACCTGGGAATGGCGTGAAAGGATGGCAATGTGCGAGAGCAGGGCAGGGAGGGCGGAGCAGGTCAGGGCGTCAGGACCAAGCTTCCTCTGCCCACCTTCCTGACCTTCCGGGTTATAATTTAATTCTGGGCCAGAGGTGGGGCTGCTGAGGCGCAGCAGGGCTCCTCCCCCCGCTGGACAGTGCTGTCTCCCCAGATACTGAGCTGGGGCTCCCCTCCTGTGCAGGAGCAGGGCACCTTGCCCTCTACTTCCCCATCTCATGCAGCAACATGATCTGGGTCCAGAGATCTTGGGCCAGAAGTGATGGAACTGGGCAACCCGCTGGCCTTGGCATCCACGTCGGAGGCTGGGTGCAGCCTGGGAGGCTCATGCTACAAGTGTGGGCAGCACAGACCCAGGCTCCAGGGATAGGCAAGGTCAGGGCTGCTGCGTGTGTGTGTGTGTGTGTGTGTGTGTGTGTGTGTGTGTTGTGGGGGTAGGCGGGAGAGAGGGGAAGCAAACTACAAACACCCTTGCCCTCGCTGTAGAGTTTTCCAGAGGTGCCAGGGTTCATCTAGGGACCCCACTTGAGAGCCGCTCGCTCTCTGTCTTGCCCACTGCCCTCCCTGAGTTTCTGGCATCAGCCTGTCTCTGGCCTATCCTGAATCACTATCTCTCCATGGGGGTAGGGACGGACAGGGAGCTCTCTTGTGTTTAGCAAACATTGCAAAACTGAGTCGGGAAGCAGGGGGGAGGAAGGCAGAGGAAAAGGAAGATCAGCAGCAGTTCAGAGTCCTCAGGGGCCTCC